CTCTGAGAAGCCTGCAGAAGCTTTGTCATGCACATGTATTCACATACATGCACAAACACATGAATGAACACAGATATATGAACCCTTGCAGTCACTCTCTCCAATGCCAACCTTTTAGGGAGACTCCAAGTCCTAGTGCTTGCTCTTCTAACAAACGCTTCACCTAATGGTTCTTAAAGAAACTGTAACCGCGGTGTGTACAACTAAAAGGCTCAGAAACCCAGAGGGAACAAAAAAGTTACCAGATTTGTTTCAGGTGTTATGATTTCTAAATAACTTTTGAGGTTGGTTTTATTTCCTTCATTTTTTGAGGGCTTAAAGCAAGAAATATTCAATATGATACATATTAATCAGCCTAGATCAAGTGACAGTCACTGCACAGAAATGAACAATTACATCATTAGCAGAGTAGGATATGAGCTTGTATTTTTGGAATCCTTTTCTTGTGTCTTGTGACAGGACCAGCGTCTTTCTTTGCATAACAAATGTAATGATTTGGTCTAGACTCTTTCACTCTAAGCCACAGCCAGACAGAAAGGAAAAACAAAACTTCTGCAGGAAAGGGCCTGCTCTGCAACTCCATTTTCTATGGTCTCTTTAAAGGAACAGAGTAGGAGCAATAAGCAGGCCTTGAACCAGCACGTGCTCTGGAAATGTCTCAAATGAGCCTCACGAAGTTCACAGGTTCATGTAAATTGCAGTGCCATACTTGGTTTTGAGATAGTTATTTACTGTTTCATACAACAGGCTTCTATTTTGTTGCATAATTTCACCTCTCTCTGCTGCCTTTAACAGGTGAAATGGGGGGAAGGTAAACCATAAAGTGACAGCAGAATATTTTTTAAATCTTCTGGGTAGCCTCTGTAGGAGTTGTCCTGGTGGGTCTATTCCCTTCTTCTCAGATATGCTAACCAAAATACAAGTTGTGGGTGGATAGCATGGGGTGGGAAGGGACAGACAGAAACAGCTCTCAGTAAGCACGCAGACATGGAGGCAGGCAGTGAGGGGAGTCAGAAGGGTTCCCTCAGAACCAGTCAGGTATTGCTGCAGGAAGGGCCTCGCCAGGGTTATGCACCAGTGGTGGTGCTGATCATAGAGCATGCTACATGTAGTTTTATTGTGCTGTCCAAATCAAATGCCCAGGTAAAGTTCATATTCTTAATTACACTGACAACCACTTACAGGGTCGTAATTTCTGATGTTTTCATTTTGTTGATTCCCAAAAATTTGCTAGTGGAAGAGTACAGCTTGGGACTTCCAGGTTTATGGCACAGCTTCCATTTCCCTAGGATGATGAGAAATTTACCCTAGTGCACGAGCTACAGAGCATAGATGATAACTCAAGGGAGCAAGTGGGCTGCTAAAAGACTGTGACTTATTAAGGACTTAATGGCAGCTACCTCGTACAACTTTCTCCTGAAACAACTCCCTGTCACTCCTTTCTTATTTGTTACCTGCTACCTTTCCCCACACTTTCTCTTGTACTGGCTTGCCATAAGATTTGAATTAGCATCTTTTGTAGAAAACCCCAATAATTTTATTTAAGTAATAATTTAATTTTCAATTTAAAACATAAGATTTAGCTTTCCAAAATCCATGTGGTGCATTATTACACAGGGATAAGAGAAGAAAATATTTGTATTTGCTGAATTAACATGCCCTACTTTTCATGTAATGTACCAATATTTGGCAAAATAACATCGTTGATGCATTAATATTTGTGCATAGATACCCAGTTCTCCTTCCTTTTCTTCTTCCCGTGTTCAGACTTGAGCAATCTGTTAAAATAGGTAACAAGCTGATAAAAACTGCCAATGTAAAGCAAAGTGCAAATGATAGTCAGAAAGCATGTGGAAAAAAAACCAAACCCAAACAATCAAGGAATATCCCATCTCATCACTGGGAATTAGGAATTGGATGTTGTGGTAACACTTTTTGGGAAAGATCATTGTCATTGCAAACCTCTAACTTTCTAGTCCCTTAATTATAAATAAGCAGTGAAAAGAATACAGCTGCAGCTATGTAAAATCATTGCCCAGGAGATAAAATATTTTTATGCAAAAAGTCAGCATTCCCAAAGGGGTGAGTAGTTGTCCTGTCTGCCTCTGTTGAAGTTAGTGAAGCTGTGAATATTTACAGAGGTTGAGAGTTTGTCCACTGTGCTCTCTGCTCTTTCCCCTGCGCGAAAGGTGTGAACACAGCACATCTCTTCCATCCCTTTGGAAACTGTGTGAGTGTTGTGCAACAGAAGAGAAATGGTTGACTTTCTTCAAATGTTGCTGCTCCCTGGTCTGCCATGTGCATTTGAAGGGTCCTTTCTGGCAAAGTGGTGCACAGATTGTACAAAAGGAGTCAAAGGAAACCAGTGATCACATTGTAGGCTGCAATCTGGCAGAGGATGAGCAGGAAGGGAAGCAATCACCGTGAGCCCCCTGCTCCCTACCTCACTTGGATAAGAAATGGTTGGTAGCCAAGTGCAGGAAGGACATTATTGCAACCACAGCACCAGATCTTCAAATGTACCTTGGAGCCTGACTTACTGTTTTTCTAATCAAGATGTTTCCTAAGGATGCAGGGGAGACCAAGACTATGGTTCTTACTTGCCTCCAACACAACAGTAGCACTCTAGTTCTTCACTTTACACTTTCCTTTTGTGTGTGTGTGTGTGTGAAAAGGAAGTTTAATCATATTTTCCATTCTTTCTAAAGCATTTTGAGGGCCTCAGGGAAAAGTGCTAGGCAGGAGCAGTGCCATTACTGATAAGCTTCCAGATTAGACACAGCTAGAGATGACAAAAATAGCACACAACTGGGACCACAGCAAGGACTGGGGTAAGGAATGGTCACAGAAAGACAGGTTTAATGGCTGATTAGGAGCAGCTGTTGAAAGCACTGATCACCTATAGAAATTAACTCCAAAGAAATGCACAAGAATCATTTCAGATCTTGCAAGGTATAACAAACAAGATGTAGTTATTAAGTAGGATGATTCGCTCTTAAAAAAACATTGTTAATCAGGCTATGAACCATGATGAGGATGAGCAGATATAAAATATTAATTGCTATGTGATGGTTAATTAATATATTCTCCGGTTGTGACAGTCCTAATTAAAAAAAAACAACAAACCACAACTTCAAGATTAATTCCAGGATAAAATACTACTGAGTATGAGCAAAGGCATTAAAATTCTGCCTGCCAAATGCATGTTAATTAGTGCTGGTCCTGGATGATTGTGATCAGTAGAAGCTGATGGTATTCATCAGAGAGACCTTACTGTAAAAATGCTTTTATAGGTCACCTGGTTTTGCAGCCTGCTGATAGTCTCATGACACTGAAGGGAGCAGAGGTGTTTCTGTTGTCTGTAACATGAGGGACTGAGGCCTTCAGAATGAATGAACACCAGTTTATATGTTGCCGTACTCCAGAAACTTCTTATCTCAACATTTCTTTCTACCTGTAAAGCTCTTCTTGCCAAGTTTGTAGCAACAATAATTTTCTTTCTAGTGTAGTTGATATTGAGAACTTCAGTAAGGAAGCATCACTGTCTGCAGATTTGACCAGTGGGGAACTGTAAAGGCTGGCTTTCAGAGTAATGTGATCTTACTTCTGTAGTGTAGTTTGGAAGTGCTGTAGTTTCATGTGTATCACTAAGAAGTTATTTGTGATGAAAAGTCCATAGTTTAGCAACAGAGCAGGCTACATACATGTAGTAGTTACTTGAGGAAATTTATTCCTGCAGCCCCTCTGCCTATACCTTTCCTCCATCCCTCAAGTTCCTCAAACACCAGTTTTTTCTCTGCCCAAAGCTGAAGAGTGCCTGCTTCTGATAATGTCGGGATCATCCTAGCACTGTATGAAGTCTGACTTTTAAGTACCTGAACTTTGAAAGGGACTTGTCTGAAACGTGGTATAGAAATGGTGTAGAAAGCTCAGAATCAGGTTGCTTTTGAACAGTCCATGTCATGAGTTGGCAGTAATGCCAGCTGTAGCTGGCTTGCCCGAAAGTTCTCAGATTTTTGCTGTCATCTTGGTACTCATTTCAACAGTCTCCATCTGCATTACATACAAGCAGACAAATGTACCATTTGATTCAAGGTTTATAGTAACTTTATTAAAATTAAAAATCTTCTGTTAGTAGAATTTGTCAACTTAAAAAATATAAGATATTTACATATACATAGTTCTCTAGGGCAGAGAGTTCCTATGAGTTTGTGAAATACAGGCTCCAGACATGGTTTGTTCTTAGTTATTCAGAGCAAAGCAAATTAAAAAGTAGAACAGTTGTTTCAGGTTTGTCTCACATGAAGGTGAAACTGAAGTAACTTCACAGAAGTCAGTGGGTAGGATAAGTCTTCCCCAGTACAAGGCTGAATAGCGTTACATTCACAGAGTTACCCTGGATTTCTCCAGGTCATCCCTTGGTGACAGTATCCATACATCATTGTGGACTGAGTTAATAGTGCAATACTGTGTATAAAAATAGAAGGCCCAAGGATCTTTTCCTGAATATTTCATGGATCATGTGACAGCCTAAAGCATGAGATTAGTTTACTCATAGATTATATCAGTATGAGTAACCATTAAATTATATAGCACCTTCTCAAACCCAGCACTCAATGCAAGACATTCTGACCTCCATCAGGATGGAGGTCTACACTCATCCAGCTCTGGGGGAGGTCATCTTCTTCTCTACAGTATGTGATATCTACCCTTAAATGCTATACTGGTCAGGACAGCAAGGATGGGAAGAAATCTACATTCATTTGTAAATAAATATTAGCAAGCATTTCAGAAAATAACAGTGTCCAGCTATAAAACAAAGAAGTCATCACACATTCAACCAGTGATGAACAAATTCTGGTGAGCTCATGGTTGTTCAGAGATTTTATTGCCAATTAATAAATATGAATTAAAGCAGATACTAAGGCTTTCTTCCCTGTTATGTGCAGCACTGATGATGATTCCATTTAGTTGGCCTTAGGTGCTGGCCTAGGCCAGAATTATTTGCCTTTGGTGGTACGTTTTCGGTCTATTTTCTTTATAGCAGTCTTCACCCATTTCTGATTAGGGCTTACGCAGATCTTGATACCTTTTGTGGTGATAAACCTATTGGAAGAAAGCAAGCAAATCAGGCGGCCATTAAATTTCAGTCTCCAAACTCAGGTTTACTTGGGTTTTTGCAGAACATGGGGAACAATGTACTAAAACCTTATCACATGCTGGAGTTTGTAGTTCTTAGCTGGAATAACAGTAGCTAGCAACATTAGTTCCTTGTTTATGGCATAAGTATGCATGTTAAATACATAGTCATGTGAATACATACTGACATTTAGAAAAAGGAATATACCTGATATTCAGAGATTTTATATGAAATCATGATGCATATTTACCTCCCAGGCGCATACCCCAGATTTGATAAAAATGCACGCTTGTGAGATGGAAGACCAAACACAGCTCCTAGCAGGAGTTGGTGGTACCCTGAACTCTTCCACATGATCTTTCCCCTTGGCTCAATTCAGTGCACTGGGCTTTTGACTGCTCCACCATGACCTCTCACTGAGATTTTTCTCCACTTTCTGGGCACAAACCACCTGGCTGTTCAGTGAGATTTCTGACAGTGTTTGTGAGCAGCATACGTACATCTCCCAGCTCTCTGAGGCCCACCCCTCTCCCCTCAGTCCCTCAGCTGCCAGTTGACTGTGTCATGGGGGAACTGTAAGGGTGACCTGAACTAGCCACCTTTAGTGAGTTGAGCCATGAAGTGTCTTCTGATGCCCTTTCCCTTTTTGATGGTAGCATGTTTACACAGATAAGTCTGAAAGTGCTCTGGATACTTACATGATGGCCTCTACTGGAACCTGTTGCTTTTCATAGCTGACAAGACTTCGGATGTTCAGTTGCTGTGTAGACAGCCTTACACAACTGATTTTGCGCATGGGCTGACTTCCAACGCTCCCTAGAAGAGAAAACATAGATAAATGACAAAGACAGTCAATACTATATTCATATTTAGCCATAATTACTTAATAAATAATGAATTCCAGCAGATTTCCAGTCATGGTTAGAACACAAGTGTCTCATGATATATGGGCACAATATCAGTTATGCAAGAGAGCTTAAGGTATTTTTTGTGATGCAACTTACCATCTCTAAAGTGTTAATTGCTATTTCAGTTAAGATACTAATCTTCACTCATTTTCCTGAACAATTGTATAATCAGTCTGCCTTTAGGGAGTCACTGCTTCCATAGCAGAAAAAGTATTTGGCATCATTCGTAATTAGGTCTGTATCGTCTGCAAATAAGTGTCCATATAGAGTAGCGCTTAGAACCTGCACCTTTACTGGATGGATGTCCAAATGTCATCTGAATGTGGATCAGTAATTCCTCCTACTGCAAGCGAAGGAAAGGAAAGCAAGGCTACTTGTCTCACACTGAACATTCAAAACAAACATTTAAAAAAAAATTGTTGAAAGAGAGGGAAGTATATCTGCCAGAAGACTAAGTACTTGCATACTCTTACTATAAGTCTGGTTTCATAGGCAATGGCTTACTATTTAATCCTCTCTTTCCTCCAACATTTTCATACATTTCAGGGAAATGCACTAGTAATTAATAAAGAGAATAATGATATCAGAGTAAAATTCTCTGGGCAGTTGTTACCTTATGTGATGGTAATTAAAAACAGGAGCTCATTTAAGTGAGATAATGAGACCTCTATAAATTCTTCTAAAAGGAACCTCATAATACAGCAGTGTTTTATTCGTCCCCCTCATTTATAGAGAAACTGACTTGAGAAAACGTCCAAGGGTTGTTCAGGTAAAACTTGCTAAATATAAAACCTGCTTCACATAATCTCATGATCTGTGAGCTCTGCTTAGTTTGAAATAATTGGAATAGCTGAAGCAAACACACATCAGCCTTTGGAAAACCTGTAGCATAGCCAGTGCATGGGTGCTGTCTAATTCTTGAGATTTTGTTTGCCTAAAGGAATATCTCTTCTGATCCTGCTTTAGTCACAAGTAACGTGATGTATTTTTTTGATTATTCATTACAAATACGTATCTTACTGCCTCACTCAGACTGGTTTTCAAAATGTGGCATTAAAAAGCTCAAAGATAGTCAAGTAATCCTTTCTAGTCCTGGAAACAGTCTCTCTATTACTAAATTGCCTCCTGGGAACGCATGCAGGGAATTCCAGGAGGCAAACCAGCTCTAAGACTGCTCTGCACCTATAACTACCCTTTTTTTCTGGAGTGGTTTTTTTTTAAAATTTATCATTCTTATTTCTAATCCTTTTTCTATCCTTTGCACACCACCTCAGTGTGTTTTTTCAGACTTGCTGATATTTATGCAAACTATACAACCTGGAGACCAACATTATGAACTGACAGTCTGTGGCATGAAGCCATGTATTGCCAAGATGAGCAGGAGTAGCATTAATCAATGTTCAAGAATGTAGCATGATCTAGCTCTAGGGGCACTAGGTGAACATACTCAACGTGTAGCTACATAATCTTGTGAATGCTTAGCAGGTCTCAGTTTGAGTTCAGTGTGGTTTTGTGAAGATGCCTTTTCTGTGTGTTTCTCTTTGCATATTTTTGTGGGTTTGCATATGGCTTTCATGTGAGTGTTTTCTGTGATTTTTATGTGCTTGTTTGTGTGAATCTGATTTGTACAATAAGACATGTGCTTGCGTGTGCAAGTTCATGTTTTCACATGATACATATAGCCTGATCCAAAAGTCACAGACCTAAACATCACCACAGACAAATGTATTTAAAGCATGGCTAATAAGCATGGCTCATCTCAGTGCTCATAAATGGTCTCAAACAAGATCTTAAATTATATGAAATCAAGAAGAGAGAAGACATTGTATAAATCTGTTGCTCTTCTTTGCAGTTTTTGTTCATAGTTTGCCTGTCCGTACCAAAATATTTGGCTGGAAACAAGCAAACAGGCAATATGTGATACAGAACTACAAGAACTTCTTAAAATAGGGACATTAGAGAGATTAAGACTATAGTTGGAGAAAGACAAAAATAATATAAAAGTAAATTTAAAAGTAATATATCTGGAAAAAGAAAAAAAGAGTATATCTTATTCAAGAAATAGTTTTCATTAAATGTTATTAACCTACATAAATCATTGCTATATAGCATCAATGAGATTAAAATACATTGTGTCTTCAAGATTTCATGATTTCAAGAGAGAATAATACACAGAAATCCTTTAAGTGTTCTAAGGCACAGAAACTCTCACTCCATTAAGGCAGAAATCAACCCCTAATTGACAGAACATTGGGTGAGATCTCCTCAGCTGTAAAGCTGCCCTTCTTCTAGTTCTCATCTGGATTTCTTGTGCGTTTACCTTACGAATCAGCTCTGGCTGAGAATGAATCCTGCTCATCAGACCACTGGTGCAATGTGGAGCAATTCCTGCCTTGCTTACGGGTTGTAAACTTACCTTTCACTGTGTGCACAGTCAAGATGCCAAGCCAGAAGATGACGAGGATAGCTGCAACGTGGAGTTTCATTGCTGGTGGCTGCTTTGTCAAGGCAGAGAAGAAAGTGGCTATTGTAAGCCCTTTTCCACAGAGCTTATATATTGTCATTCAGTGGTCAGTTCTTGCGTTCACTTTTGGGCCATCATGGTGGGGCTGATGATAAGTGGAAAAAATTGAGTGGCAGTACTTTTTCTGGTTAGAGAGAACCACCTCCTTTCCCCACCCAACCTTCACTAGCCTCCCTGTGAAGGCTTTTCCTGCTCAAACCTTTCTGTGGTTGCACTTGCTTCTGTGTTGCGAGCAGAGTTTATTTCAAGCTGCAAAAAGTGAGAGCTCTTGTTCTGTAGTGGAAACCTTTAATGAATGTTCCTGTCCTTTCACACCTCGATTTAGAGAGCTGTAGCTAAGCTGCACCGCAGAGGCACGGAGAAATATTCAGAGCTACCTCTCTGACCAGTAGCCTACCTAAAAGGGGAACTGTGAGCTAAAGGATGATGGAAACAGGAACACCTTGGCTTTTTCCATAGTGGCTGTAGATAGTTGGTCACTCTAATGCGTAGCTTTGGAGAGGTATCACTCCTATTTCCTATGTGTGGTGGAGCTTGTTAGAACCCTTCTGTTTTCTCCATGATTTGATATGGTCAAAGCTGATACCACTATGTGCTAGGAGAAGAAAGAGTGAACACACTTTTGCTTATAGAGCCAGATCCACTAGCCCTCCTGTCAGTCAGGTATAACTAAAATACAGTGGTTTCCAAGAGGAATAAGAGTTCATAAAGTTGTGAGGGGTTTTGCTTTGTTTTGTTTTGTTTTGGTTCTTTTTGTGGTGTGGTCCTTCTAGTATAAAGGATGGAGCCCAAGAAAGTAGGTAATTAGAGAGGCACAATATATATAGGAAAGAAGAAACAAGTTTGTTGCACTTCCATGTAGGTGGGGTGTTGGTAACAGGTCTGTCAACTAGTTCCAATTGTACCTCTATCAAAAGTTCCCTTTTTTGCTGACTGTGCTAGTCCCACTACTCAGTTTTAAGTGTCCATTCTGTGTTGCAGTAAGGTGGTTTGACTTGCTACATGCCAGTGGTTTTGTGCCTGCAAATATTTTTCAAGCAAGCTGTGGACCTCCAGGCCACACACAAAGCAGCACCTGAGTTGGCATCATTGTCCAGAGCCTCTGAACAGAAATCTCCTCTCGTGCCTTACACTTCAAAGCACTTCTGTGGCTGGTAGAAAAAGCCATACTTTGCTAGGCCCATGGAGACCTAGCCAGGCCTGGTGTGAATAGGTGAGCACCAGGCCTCCTGATACCCTAGACTGTAAAGCAGTGGTGTACAATAGCTGTCAGTGCAAAGCCTGGAGCAACTGTCCATACATGTGAGTCTGAAGTTCCCCCTGCTCTTACCTCCAGGACTTGCCCATCAGCTGGTTACTTCCAATTTTCCAAATTCTTGATAAGTCAATGTAAACTGCTTTGCATGGTGAAATACAGCACGTGGAAGTCAATTCCCTAAGATTCTTCAGGTGAATTAAGATCGAGTGAAGAAGTGAGCTCAAATACTTGGCTCCAAGGCTGTAATGGCTGGTCTGTAGCCTCAGAAACAGCCTGTAGGTCTTGCAGGTAGAGAACATGCTGCTCAGTTTACTTGTGTATACATACATATTTTTTGTTCCTTTTGGATTAATTCTTTCATCTTACATATACCATGCAACCCAGGGAAAAGCAATAGCAAAAGTAGACAGTAAGCAGGTCTAAGGTACTTGCTGCTTTACTTGAATGGCTGCTAAACCCACTTGCAACACTAAAGTAAGCTGCAAGAAAATGGAAGCCAAAGCTTCAACCAAAACCTGTGAAGGACATGCCTACTGGCATACAAGTGAGTAACCATACTGACCTCAGCAGCACTATTGAGAAATCTAATGTTAAGTTTGTGTTCAAGCAGTGTAGCGACGTGCTGTTTTGCTCAACACTGCCTGAAATCACTCCTTGAGTGAGTTAACTTTTTGTTACTTGGCAGCTTTGACATACAAGATAATGACTTTTTCATTGATGGAAGAGAGAAATTCATTGATGTCATTGATGGAAGTGAGATGTTCCATCACTTCTATGCACTGATATGGCATGTACATATATACTCACTGTCTACAGCTTTGAGAGGAAGAGTCACCAGCTGTATTGAGCATCAGCTAGCTCAGAAAAAGTCAGTTCTTCCCACAGGAACTTCTGCAGGTTGTAGATTCATTTCCGAGGTGGTGTTTGAAAGCCTGTTGCTTCTACAGTTTTCCACCATTTTGGTAAGTCATATTAAGAAGACAGATAATAAGTGCCCAAAGTGCTCTTCCTATTAGGGTTTTTCAGTTCTGGAGAAGCTGAATGCTAATGATACTTGTCCTGGGACTTGATTGCCTCTTATATGGCTCACTCATCACAGGCTGCTTTCAAAGCATTCTGGAGTAAAATGATAATTTGCAGCTTGTGATACATCCACAGACAAAACAGATGGTATGATTATGGAGTTCTCTAATAGTTTGTAAAGTCTAAATTGTGGATAAAGATGACTAACTTTACTACAGTGCTTCCCAAACTCTTGGCTACAGGTATGGTGTTGTGTGCATCATGAGAGCTGTCCCTTCTCCTCACCTCCACATCTGATGTTTGACACATGCACACCTTGCTGAGAGAAAGCAGGTGCAGACAGTGGATACTGCAGGTATGAATGTGCAAATGTATCAGTATTTAACCTCTGGAGCCTCCCCACGTGCAGAAAACCACAGGCTTTGAGTTAAGTCTTCTAGGTTTCCTATACAATGTGAGGGGAGGCTGGGACACACAGCTCTGGGAGACGACAGCAACAGCAAGCTTCTGCCTGAGGGCTCTCCTAAATTCTTCAGCCTCCGTTCATGCAGAGCAGCCTGCCTCCGCTTTACAAATACAGCAGCTGGGGCACAGAGAGGTGAATGGACACCTGAGAGTGCTCACCCATAGCAGGTGGCAAAGTCAGGGCCTGATCTAGCACAGTGCCTAACCAGCTGCTGAATGCAATAGTTTCCTTAAATTTTTAACAAGGTCAAGAATTTTTTACTGAAATAATCATTGCATATACCCTGTTTCATGTCAATAGCCCTGATGAAGGAAAATAAATATGCAGTGAGCAGACTGTTGGGCCTAATATCAGAGATTACTTATCAAGGTAAAGAGTCTGAAGTATTGCATCTTCTTATACTGTAGTTAGCTCTCAAAAAAAAGAGGCCAAGATCTTCACAAATAAATAAATTCTTATGGTTTCCTAGAAATGAGCATCTTTAGTGAATGTTCATTCGTGTTGCATGTGCCAGCAGGTCACTGTCATTTCTGAAGACTAAATCAGGGCATTCAATCACTTTAAGAGGGGACCTAAGAACCTCAGCTTAGACACATCAGTATCTCAGACAAATGTTTTTAGGGTGGGAAATGTCACCCTTAGGAGTCACATGTCTGTCTTTTATCTATAAAAGCAACATATGCATGTATCTTTCACCAGACATGGTAAGTGAGAGAAGTTTAGTGCTATAAATATGACCCTAGTGTATTTTGATTTTGCATGTTTCTTAACAGTTGGAGTACTGGTTTAAGAATTACCAGCAAGTGACATCCACCTGTGATATTTGCACAACTTCCCTTCCATCCTTCATCCTTTGTTTTTTGCCACTTTTGCTCTGTAGATTTAACAATTATCTCATAGGTACTTCTGGCATTTCATTTCACTTTCTTCTTGAAATTGTTGTTGTCCTTTTATCTGTGCCTTCCCACTAGGCTTGTTATGTCTTATTCCATAGTTCAGCATAGTTTAAATTATTTACTTACTTTTAAACTCGCATCTGAATTCATGTCTGCTAAGCAGCACAAATTAGGTAAATAATAAAGTGCCACTGAAGTCAGCATCCCGACTTAGTACCTGCTTTGTGTTTTAGCTAGATCAGTGCACTGAAGTATGGTCAGATAACAGATGATGACAGAATTAGCATAATTTAGGAAGTTTCTGTCCTTAACCTGAAAATAGCAATTTATGTTCAATGTCTTTAATTCACATTGTAATGGAGTAAAAACACACACATGCTTGGTATTCATATCTCAGCTGAGAGACAATAACTTTTAATCTAATTTGATCACTTAAATCACATTTTCAATAGCTACTCTGTTTTGTTCTGGTTTTGGCAGAACTCCTCCTTTAGAAATGTAACCCTATTAACAATACTTTCTCTTAATCATAATAGAGTTTTTGCTTGTATACCATCTGTTTTCACTACCGTACTTCCAGCTTTTACCTGCCAACTTTTCCATAGCCCTGCTACCATGCTCCTCCCTTGATGTGCTCTTAAATAAGTTAACTATATGAAAATCTTCCATTCAGTCATCCAATTTGCATTCATATATGTAAAATTATACTGAGAATGATTTGATTTGAAAGGGACCTTGAACCAAATGTTTTAAGCTGACTCAATAGGAATGTGGTATTCTCCACGTTGCAGAGGTCTTTGGTCTTTCTTTCATTCAGTGTTGTTTTATTTTGTTTTTCAGTGAGGAGTTACACAGTCACCTGAGAGTTTACAAGAGGAAGTCCTTGATCCTCATCTTTATAATCTGAGTCTTGTCTGTTTCGGTTCTTTGAGAGAGACATACCAGGATTCTAACTAAATACCGTGCAATACTATCCCTGCAGAGAATCAGAGGTGATTACAGTCCAGTCCTGTGAAGATATCTAAATATTGTACATGCTAAAACAGGAGTCAAATACCTTTTGGAAGTCTGTGGTATGTCCATGCTATTGCTTTTTTCTTCCTTGTTTTGTTTTGGGTCTTTTTGTTACTTCTTTTTCTGTCTTCTTTTTCTTTTTCTTCCTCAGCTCTCATGTAAAAGAGAGAATCCAGGTTTTGTTTAGCACTACTTTCTGTGCGTGCCATATCTGTAGGATCAAGGATGTGGGAACCAAGCCTTATTCTCTTAGTCTGCAGGGGAAGAATCAAGCCTGTTGTGTGAAAAATAAATGTACTTCTTGG